GCATGGCATGTGTGGCATATATCGCCCGGGTGGAAGTCCACCAATCATCTCTGATCCATCTTCTAGATTTGGTCTGGTTTTTTCGATGCAGTGATTGACTGAACGACTTGGTTACTGAAGACCCTTCTTGATTCCACATCACTGGCAGGGAGGCGAGGTTCGCACACCGGCATCATGTTGAGAACCATCTGAGCGATCGCCAGCGGCAATGCGTACTCTTCACGCTCCTGCCCATTGTACAGGATGGAGATCCGTTGAGACGTACATGCAGTCCAGACCTATCTGAGTTGAGCTTGAAGCACTGCGGATATCCTCATTCCAACAGAGCTGGAAAAAGCCCTCAAACCAACCAGCCAATGAGGATCAACTTCGGACGAGATGCCGTCCCAAGGGCTGAACTCACCAAAAGCTCGACTCTATTGGTTGTTTAGTACTGTCTCTTCAGGCTTTGCCCTCTGGCAGGCGCAGCTGGTTAAGTCGGTCTCGCCGCTGGAGAGCTACCGGCTGTCTACTGTATGGATGGAGCATACGGCGCGGGACATGTGATGCCCAAAGACCTGCCAACGAGGTCGCCGTCACTTGATGTTAGGACTATTCGGCATGGGATTACTGATGTATGGCAGAGCCAAGAGCCTTCTGTTTTGGCGACTGAACGGGTTCATGCTTAGGGTTCGAGTTATATCACAGTAACGATCTTGACTTCATCATCCACTCTACCGGATCCCTGTGCTGAAGACGTTGGAATGGCCACTGTCTGTGGTGTCGGTGGCTTTCTTCCCCCTGGAGCAAGCAAATGGCAACGATATCTAAGCGAGAACGGTAGTTGTGTTCTCCAAGAAAGGTAGGTTTGCAAGAACAGACCACCATCATGACCCTTCATTATGAGAGAAGCCAGTAGCTTACTCATCTCGATCACGTCTCGTATGAGAGGTAGGATATGCCGTAGGCCAGCTTGTGGGATCCGAGGGTTTTGGACAGTCCTACGTCCAACTTTGACGGGACGAGGAGAGCTCGGTGAAGTAAATCTAGTACCTAGAAGACACTTCGATGCCGGTGTTGACCATGATCACTCCTGGCCCTCCTTGTCACACGGCTCCTCGGGGGTTCTTGTCACCTAAAGGGGTTCTTGCTAGTTGGGCGAGCTCTACTCGTGTACCTTCTCACTTTCTCGTTGCTGTCTTGGTGAAACTTCAAGTCTCTTACCTGGACTTCCACCCTACTATTCAAGTTGGGGCCAAGCGAGCGTGCCCTATGGTAGACTTTAAACGATGATATAACCAGTATTTTTCCTTGTTGCCAATGGCTTTGAGCACAAATCCCTTTCAAGCTATCAGCACTCTTCCCTATTGCCAAGTCTCGACCTCACCCTTCCCGTATCTCTTCGCAAATGGGTGAAAGCGATGGATCATGGTACCCGTACTAAACCTGAAACGGAAGCCTTTCGTCAGAGTGATGCTCTATGATATCCCAATAAACAAACAACCGACAATTTCTCCATCGAAGTAAGCACCAAATGAATGCATTTCCTTAGGAGACCCTCCAGTATGAATGAAGTATATGGCTTCATGCTTTCTTTCCGACATCTGCAATCCAACAACCCCCCCGAGTAGGCTAAATGAACTCGCTCAGCTGGATATCGCGTCGCACCTCGTTATGAAATAAATTGCCACAAAAGCACCTCTACCAAGTAATCAGGTCGGGGTCGAATATGCATAAGGTTTGCTCACAGGGCTAGGTCTTATACCGTGCTATATATTCCCGCAAACACTTGTGAGGCTCTCCCAGAGATGGCAAATTAACTAAACAACTGGCTGGCGTTAGGGTCTCTACTCCATTCTTTCAAAAATCTGTAGTGGACTATGACGATGACGCTGCCATCGGAGTCAATCAACAAAGGATGTTCTCTAGAAATCTGTCATGAAGCGGAGAGATCGCCTGGAATAGCCCTCATTCGATCTCTTTCTTGCTATATAAGGAAGATTTCGATCGTGGAACGGGGGTAACTTGGTGAAGTTTTGCGAACCCTCTTTGAGTCGTAAAATTCCCATGGGAACCGTTGATGAGGATGGGATTGCAGCAATCCGAGATCAAGTTGGCAGAGTGAAGCTCTGAGGCTAAGATAGAGATTTAATTAGAGATCAAATCCAGCGGAAAGAGCCAGAAACCCGGATCATGACAGCGTTATCATCGAGGGGAAGGCACAGTAGTATGGAAAGATGGGCCGAGAATGAGGGTCTGAAATTATTGACGTCCCTGGTAGGGAGATTCTTTGCAAAGAGGTCGGGTATTGAAGACGAAAGAGCAGGCGCCTCCCAGGCGAGTATACCAAGGTCCCTGGGGCCATTGCATTCCAGGCGACCTTATACATACCTCCTCAATACAGTTCCTGTCACCCGCACCCATCCTGCCAGTTGGCCGGGTGGTTTACACTCTAATGCAGGGAAGCTAAAACAAATACTCCAATGAAGCTGTGCTGGTCCAAGGGGCCCGCTGTTCGAATTTGGCCAGGGGCGTGAAGAAAATTGCAAGTGATTACCGGCCTCTAACCTCCATCCTTTTCATTTTTGTCTATTTGGATCTTATTGTCATCTTTTCCCGTCGTATACTACCTATGATATGACGATTAAGATCGACTTGGGTGTTGATGAGAACCATAAATATCAGGGAAATGCGATAAATCATGGATGGTTTTGCTAAGTACATTGGTCTCCTATTCTCAGCGTGGTCATAGTGAATTGCTTCTAAATGACGTTATGGTGGTCAGATATCGGGCACAACCTTAAACTGGAAAAAACATATCTTTCCCCGGAGATTTAAGCCGACAACGATATTTGACTCGGAATGTCAGAAATACTAGTATTGATTACCTAGATAAGGTAGATTTAGTAGAGTACCTAAAACGGAGGGAAGGAGGTGAAGTCGGGATCGTTCCGCTAATGACTAAGCCAGTCAACTGGGGACGGGGCGCATCCCAGCTCTTTACGCGAGAAAACGCGTCCCCGACGCGCCCCTGTCCAGCAACGCCCGCCTGTAAAGTTGCCCCGGCAAATTGCCCACCAAGACAAAGTGATCGATACTAGCAGAGCATGAAGTTGTCACCTTCAACTCCCCTCACAGACATAGCGATGCCTCATTCCGTGTCACCAGAAGCAAACTCACCTCCCAACACCACCGTCGTGACCGACGACGCAATGGCCGATTCCACCGTTCCTGAAGATGTCGCCCAGGTAACGGATGGCGACGTAGCGATGGAGGAGGCCGAGGCGCCTGCGCCGGCCGCCGAAGAGAAGAGCGAGGTCAAGCTGGACGACCTATTTGCAGACGCCGACTCGGACGACGAGTTCCCCAGTTCAAGACCACGAGACGCTCCCTCGTCGAGTCCCGATGGAGTCCTGACGCCCCCTTCACCAACGTGGGTTGTCCAACATGGAATGGAGGGGCAACTGCTAATTCCCGGTGCAGAGATATCGCAGACCTTAAGGCTTCAGATCCTGAGGTGATGCGCAGTTTTTACCAGCGCCTATTTCCTTGGAGATATCTCTTCCAATGGCTGAACCACAGCCCATCACCGACCAATGACTTTGGCCATAGAGAATTCGCTTTCACGCTACAGAACGACGCATACCTACGATACCAGTCCTTTGCAAGCCACGACCTGTGAGTATACTGTGACATTTGTAGTTCCGTTTGCCTGGAGTACGACAGCAACTGACCCTCCACGCCTCAGCCTGCGAAAAGACGTTCTTCGCCTCATGCCCTCCCGTTTCGAAATTGGCCCCGTCTACACCACGAACCCGCGCGACCGCAAGACCCTCCGCAACGCTAGCGCGTTCAAGCCGCTCGCCAAGGAGCTGTGCTTCGATATCGATTTGACAGATTACGACGACGTCAGAACGTGCTGCGACAAGGCGAATATCTGCAACAAGTGCTGGCAGTTCATCACGATGGCGATCAAGGTTGTCGACGTTGCGCTGAGGGACGACTTTGGATTCAAGCATATTATGTGGGTGTACTCTGGTCGAAGAGGTGCCCACGCGTGGGTGTGCGACAAGAAGGCGCGGACGATGGGCGATCAGATGCGTAGATCTATCGCAGGGTACTTGGAGGTTCTCAAGGGTGGCGCGCAGAGCGGGAAGAAGGTCAACCTATGGCGACCGCTGCATCCTCACGTTTCGTAAGTGGTGTCTCTGCTACTGGACACAGTATGAGGATAACTAACATGGCCGTAGACGGAGTTTGGAAACACTCAAATCACACTTCCAAGAAGACGTCCTCGAGGCGCAAGACCCCTGGGCCTCCAACGAGCGCGCGGAGCGTCTGCTGCAGCTCCTGCCGGACAGGGACCTCAACGAATCCCTCCGCAAGAAGTGGGACGCGGCGCCGGGTCGGTCATCAATTGCCAAGTGGGCCGACATCGACACCGTGGCCAAGAGCGGCGCGAGCAAGAAGCTCGACGCCAAGGCGCTGCTCGAGGCCAAGCAGGACATTGTGCTCGAGTACACGTACCCGCGCCTCGATATCGAAGTCAGCAAGAAGCTGAACCATTTGCTCAAGTCACCTTTTGTCGTCCATCCCGGCACCGGCAGGGTGTGCGTGCCGATCGACACCAAGAAGCTCGAGGACTTTGACCCGCTGGCCGTGCCGACGGTGCAGAGCCTTCTGGCGGAGATTGATGCGTGGAAGGGCGGCGACGAGGACGCTGAGGGGGGGTCGCAGCAGAAGAGCGTGCAGGATTGGGAGAAGACGAGCTTGAAGCCGTACGTGGAACAGTTCCGGTCGTTTGTGATTGGCTTGATGAAAGATGAGAGGGACGTCAAGGTCAAGAGGGAAAGGGAGGAGGACAGCATGGAATTTTGAAAGCAAATCGACACGATCTTTGTATGATGGGGTGGCCTTCGGTTAATGGGTTGGTGTTTGTGGTCCATTTTGTTTTTTTTTGATGCCAAACAGCAAAGGGAGGGGGTATTCTATCAACCTTTTAAATCGCCTGCCATGCCTGGCTATGATGTACTCACTTCCGTCTTGCTACTCTCCTGAGCCATCTCTGTTGATACAGGTGCCGCCACGGTCTCCGTGATGGTTTGGTTCACATCTACATCCTCATCATTCTCTTCCTCGAACCTGCTATCCTCAACATTATTGCCCTCGCCTTCGCCGTCCCCTTGAGCAGCCGGTGTACCACTGGCACTGCCAGCGCCCTCCTCCTTCAGCTTCGCCTCCTTGCGCTTGGGTATAATCTTGAGGAACGCCTCGGCCCAGCTGCCCGTCTCGAGCCAGTTGAGCATAATCTCCACAACGTGGTTCGTTGCAAGGACCCTCCGGCTCGACAGGTTCATGTATTCCCCGATGGGCAACTTGGCCGTCCGGATGCCCATCTCGCGCGCGCGGCGGTGGCACAGGCCCTTTTCCCTGTTTCTGTCTACGAGACCGCCAATGACGTAGCTCGTGTTGGGTTCGAGGCGGTCGAGGGTGTTGACGGAGTCGGAGGAGAGGTAGACAATGTTCTTGAGCTCGTCCGCGGGTTCGGGTTCGGGATCCGGGTTCGGCGAGTCGTGGATGACGTCTCTAAACACGGCGGGCTTCTTCGTGGGCGTGCCGTCTTCCTCAGTGGGATTCAGCACGTCAATGATCTTTCCGCCGCGGGGTCCCTTCATCAGCTCGTCCGCGTCCTTGGCCGCCGCGACAAAGTCGCCCTCGACGAGCTTCACGCCCTTCCAGTGCACGTGCTGGCTGCCCAGCGTGCCCTCGAACCGCTCCTTGAGCTGGCCCCCGTACGAGCTGACGTACAGGTGCGCGCGGTACCGCGACTGGCGGTTGTCCGAGTAGGACCGGGTGATCTGGCTCGCGAGCGAGACCTGCTCCTTTTCGAGCATGTACTTTTCGAACGCGCAGTCGAGGATCAGGGTGATGGGCACCTGCGTCGGGGGCACGCGGGGCACCTTGCGGCGCGGCGGGATAGTGACGGTGGACGGGTCGATGCCTTTTGCTTCGGCTTCGGCTACGGCGGCGGCGAGCTCTTCGCGGCGGGCGACTTGTCTGTCGTGGCGCTTGTCCTTGCGTTTGCGCTTGCGGTCTTCGCGGCCGTCTTCCCACGCGGCTTTGCGCTTCATCTTGCGGAGCTGGTTCTTTGAGATTTTGGGTTCTTCGGAGGCGGTGCCCTCTGCGGCTGGACCGGCGGATTCTACGTCGGCTTCCTCGCCTCCCTTTTCTTCAGCGGCTTGCGCTGCTCCTTCTACCCTGGTGGTGGATGGTGCTGCTGGTGCCGCCCGCTCTGCGACATCGCCATTGGCGGCCGAAGATGCGGCGGTAATAGTTTCCGGAGCGGCTTCGGACATCTCGAGGTCCTTGGCTGGCTGATTGACGGGTTCTGCTGCGAATGTGTCCATTGTGGCAGTGGTCGAGCTGAATGTTGATGCAAACTTTAGGTAGCGAAGTGGGGGACTTTTGCGAAATTTTGGCGATGACCACCTGCGATGGTCGTTGCCCAGCTGGTGGTGGTGCGCGGGAAGGTTGGAGAAATACGCTAAACTGTTTGGGGCGTAATGCGGGGCACTCGTTGGAGCTGTGCAGCTCTTCCTTGCAGCGGCGCCGGCACGACAGAGAACTCGCGTTCTGAGCTGCAGCGATCTGAGAAGCATTAACGCGGGGCTGATTTGGCTGAGGTACAGGCAGACAATTCTATAGGGGCGTAGTATATTTGGTAAGGTATGAGATCAGATGTCGGAAAGGACTGGATGGATCGCTGTTCAGTACACAGAGCCAATGTCTTGATGCGTCGATTACCAAATATGTAGCTAGTCACCGGAAACGGCGTTTTGGTGTGGAAGTGAGCAGACTGCTGGAAATGTCAACTTTGGACTAATGAGTTTGAAATTCTGAGCCGTAGGCAAGTACGCTGGGTGGCATTCATGGTCTTAAGATCTTCGATAGTGGTGGCTAGCACTGAGTAACTGAGGTGCGAATACCAAGGTTAGTCCCGGCAGAATGGAGGCGGTCAGCACGATTGGCACCAAATTGGAACTAGCGCCATCGCGTCGCGTCTTCCACCAGATAGATTTCCAGACGCGCCACACCTGGAAACCACTTTAACTTTGGTCACTCGGGAGCACTGCACGCTGGGTGTCACGCACCGGTTACACCATCTACACTGTTCATCTTGATTCTGCTTTCCATTTTCTCGTTCGCTAATCAATCTTTCACGATATCCTTCTAACCATGTCTTCCCGGCCGGAACTGAAGGTTAGTATTTCAATCAATGCCGACGGAACGCTTCGCTGATACGTCTTGACCTTAGGTTGACGATGAACACGGCTTCATTCGCTTCTTCAAGTCGCTCCCGGCCGTCCACGAGGATACAGTCCGCATATTCGACCGAGGTGACTGGTACACATCGCATGGCGAAGATGCCAACTTCATCGCCCGCACAGTATGTTATGATCCTACATCACCTCCTCCTTACGATGAGCTGGGGGGACTGACAGTTCCTAGGTCTACAAGACAACGTCCGTCGTAAGGACACTCGGTCGAGACGAGAAGACGGGGCTCGCCTCAGTGACAATGACTGTCACAGTATTTCGACAATTCCTCCGAGAAGCACTGTTCAAGCTGGGCAAGAGAATCGAGATATGGGAGAGCACCGGCGGCCGCATGAACTGGAAGGTTGTCAAGCAAGCCTCGCCTGGCAACCTGCAAGATGTGGAGGAGGATCTGGGTGGCCAGATTGAGGCAGCACCGATGATGCTCGCCGTCAAGATCTCAACAAAGGCTTCCGAGGCCCGGAGTGTGGGCGTCTGCTTCGCCGATGCCAGTGTGCGAGAGCTGGGTGTCAGCGAGTTTCTCGACAATGACCTCTTCTCCAACTTCGAGGCCCTTCTCATCCAGCTCGGTGTCAGAGAGTGCCTTGTTCAGACAGACAAGGCGGATAAGAACAAGGACCCCGACCTGACAAAACTCAAGCAGATCATCGTCAACTGCGGCGTAGCCGTCTCGGAGCGGTCTGCCAGCGAATTCGGCACCAAGGATATCGAGCAGGACCTGACACGTCTTTTGAAGGACGAACGTGCTACCACTCTCCTCCCACAAACCGACCTCAAGTTGGCCATGGGTTCAGCCGCAGCGCTTATCAAGTACCTAGGCGTTCTCCACGATTCGTCCAACTTTGGGCAGTACCAGCTGTACCAGCATGACCTCTCACAGTTCATGAAGCTGGATGCGGCGGCGCTCAAGGCTCTCAACTTGATGCCTGGCGCCCGCGACGGTGCCAAGTCTATGAGCTTGTATGGTCTGCTGAACCATTGCAAAACACCTGTCGGCAGCAGATTGCTGTCGCAATGGCTCAAGCAACCCCTCATGAACAAGGAGGAAATCGAGAAGCGCCAACAGCTTGTCGAGACATTCGTCAATGACACGGAGCTGCGGCAGACTATGCAAGAGGAGCACCTCCGCTCAGTCCCGGATCTCTACCGCCTCGCTAAGCGGTTCCAAAGGGGCAAGGCAAACCTCGAGGACGTTGTTCGTGCGTACCAGGTCATTATCCGTCTGCCCGGGTTCTTAGGAACCCTGGAGGGTGTCATGGACGAGGCCTACAGAGATCCTCTCGATGAAGCCTACACAACCCCTCTCCGCGACCTTTCCAATAGTCTTGCAAAGCTCTCGGAGATGGTGGAAACCACGGTCGACTTAGATGCGCTCGACAATCATGAATACATCATCAAGCCAGAATTTGACGACAGCTTGAGGATTATCAGGAAGAAGCTTGACAAACTCAAGAGAGATATTGATCAACAATTCTCGGATGCCGCTCGTGACTTGAAGCAGGAAGTTGGCAAGAAGATCTTCCTCGAGAACCACAAGGTCCACGGGTACTGCATGAGACTCACAAGACAAGAAGCCGGTGCCATCCGCAATAAGTCGGGATACCAGGAATGCTCAACGCAGAAGAACGGTGTCTACTTCACGACAAAGACCCTTCAAAGTCTCCGCCGTGAGTTCGACCAGCTCTCGCAGAACTACAACAGAACCCAGAGCAGTTTGGTCAACGAGGTTGTTGGCGTAGCTGCGTCGTACTGTCCAGTCTTGGAGAGACTCGCTGGTGTCCTAGCACACTTGGACGTCATCGTTTCCCTCGCACACTGCTCTGTCCATGCACCCTCGGAATACGTCCGGCCCAAGATTCACAAGCGGGGCGAAGGGCAGACACTACTGAAGGAGGCTCGTCACCCATGTCTCGAAATGCAAGACGACGTGCAGTTCATCACGAACGACGTCTCTTTGACTCGCGACAAGTCTTCATTCCTCATCATCACTGGCCCCAACATGGGCGGAAAGTCAACATACATTCGCCAGATCGGCGTCATTGCCCTCATGGCCCAGATTGGTTGTTTCGTCCCCTGCAGCGAGGCCGAGCTAACCATCTTCGACTCCATCCTGGCGCGTGTTGGTGCCAGCGACTCCCAACTTAAGGGCGTGTCCACTTTCATGGCGGAAATGCTTGAGACGGCCAACATTCTCAAATCGGCAACAGCTGAGTCGCTCATCATCATTGACGAGCTCGGTCGCGGTACATCAACGTACGACGGCTTCGGTCTTGCGTGGGCCATTTCTGAACACATTGTCAAGGAGATTGGCTGCTTCGCCATGTTCGCGACGCATTTCCACGAGCTGACGGCCCTGGCGGACGACCATCCGCAGGTGCACAACCTGCACGTCACTGCGCACATTGGCGGCGGCGGCGGCGAGAACAGCAAGCGTGAGGTGACGTTGCTGTACAAGGTCGATGACGGCGTGTGCGATCAGAGCTTCGGTATTCACGTGGCAGAGCTGGTCCGCTTTCCCGACAAGGTCGTGCGGATGGCTAAGCGCAAGGCCGATGAGCTGGAGGACTTTACGTCCAAGCACGAGGACCTGGGACTCAAGTACAGCAAGACGGATATCGAGGAGGGTAGCGCGCTGCTCAAGGAGGTGCTGCTCAAGTGGAAAGAGGAGGTTGCTGCTGGGCAGATGAGTAAGGAGGAGATGGTCTCTAAGCTCAAGGGGCTCGTCATGGCGGATGAGAAGCTGCTTGCGAACCCCTTTTTCCAGTCTGTGAAGACTTTGTGAGGGTAGTACCAATGACGGCTGCCGTGGTTTGATAAGTTTGTGCAAGGCGTTGGGGTCTAGGGTCACTGGTGTATAATATGACGATCAAAATGCTGGCTTCTGAAGATGTAGGCTTTTATTGAGGATGGTAGAGCTACACTGAAAGATACATAGAAAAATAACGGATCTCTCCATCAGTCCGAGACTATCATTAGTGCCAGACTAGGGATGTATGCGTTCCTAGAGACTTGAGCTTGTTAGTGTCTTGTACAGCGCATCCAGTAAGGGGATAAATATAGAAGTGATGTAGCGGAAACGAATCAGACAAATGATAGAACGGTAAAATTTTGAATCACAAAAACATTCATAAACAGCCTCTGAAGCTGGATATCATCATAGTAACAGGGTGGAGAAATCGAAAAGGCAGAGAAGAACTGTTCAACGTACCATGGATAAAGAGTTGTACATCTCCGTGGATTTGCTAGAGATAACCTACCAATGACAAAGGATGTTCATCATGGCGGGCTCTGAAGATGTAGGACAGCACTGCTGAAAGGATCTGGCAATGAAGTTAGCCACCTGCGACTCATGTATAAACGATGTCTGATCGTGCGAAAGGTTGTAGCGTTGTAACGGGTGTCAGAAAGTGATAGAACGGTGATGTTTCGAATCATGTTGATTGTAATCATAAACAGCCTCTGAAGCTGAGTCTCATCATGCAATGGGGGGGTTTGATCGGGTGACGTGAGTTGTGGGAAGATTTCTTACCATGCTTCATCATCGCGACTCTGAAAATATTCTCATTTAAATAGAAGCCCATCGAGCCAGATAGGTCCTGCCTGAAGTAACATTAGCCGATGCTGGGCTGCAATGATTACACAAAGTCGAGATATTGTAGTTTGAGTAGGATCAGAAAAATGATAGAACGGTGATGGGTCGAATCATGAAATAATTCATAAACAGCCTCTGAAGCTAGTGGTTCATCATGTTGGGGGAAGCAAGCATCGGAAGAGATATCAGGACTTACCACTTTCGATTACTTTCGATGAGGAGCACCCTCGGCTTTCGTCCTCTCGTAGTGTCTGCGGCAACCAAAGCCTGTCCATACAATGGCGGGGTTTTCAACCCTGTATCCTCAATTGGAAAAAGTGAAAGAGTCTTCGCGTGGATCTGGTGGCGCATCGAGCGTCCCCCCATGACTTGCTGTTCTCTGCCTTTCTCTTGTGGCCCCGGGAAATTTCTACAATCTCCTAGCATTCGAATGCCTAGTCATTGCAGTCAGTACAACTTGATATACAGACAGGGATAC